TTTTTATTTTGAGATCTGTAATACAGGATTGCTCAAATAATATTCTTTTCAAACAGAGCCATACAACTTCTGAATAAATTTAAATTACTAGTGACAACTTATTCACCCCCCACCCCATTTAATAAGTTATTACTGTGCATATCCAGTGTCATCAGCATTGTGTATATACCTTATTTTTAGGGAGCAATAGAGAAAAAAAATTACAAATGATTTTTCTAAAGGTAAAAGGGAATGACTGTCTCATTTTATCAGTTTTCTCAAGTGCAACACTAATTAATCCACTAGAAATGATTTATATTGCATTTTTCAACCATTCTTTTTCCTTTCAAATGATTCATAGGCTTTGTAAATACATGTCATATCTTGATATCTATATTCTTTTTCTATAAAAAAAATTAAAACAGAGTCAGCAACATACAATGACTGGAGGAGTACTTTATTTTCATATTATCAATTGGACAGTAAAAGAACAAAGCAGTTACTTTTTACAGGAGTGAAATCAAGTTATGAATCTCCAAGGTTCCAATATCAAGGTCATCTTTTCCATAAACTGAACACAACAGTGATGGGTAGTGTTCCACAGATTTTAATCTTATAACTGATTGATCCCCAAGTTTCTTCTTCTGGTTGAAAGATCCAGGGTCTCCTACAGTAATGTTAATTCAGCAATCTTAGAATAAGTGTGGTAACTTGAAGCAACATGCCACTATAGTTTAGTGTGACTGAACTGTCAATTGTCAATATTTGTCAATTCAATGGCGCTAATCCTCCTTTCCTACAAAACTGATTGAGATTGCCAATCCTAAGATGCACATTTGTTATGGGGGATTGACCCAAGGTGGCTCTAAGTCCAATAGAGGTTTGCCAGGATATCCACTACTGCGTCTACCTGAAGATGGCAGGACAGGCTGTCAAAAGAAAATGTATTAATTTAAAACATATTTTAAACTCATGTTAATTGCTGTATAAGAACAATTACTAAATAATATTCTGATCAAACATATTGCATAAGTATAAAAAAGGAAATCGAATATGCATGATTGTAGCTACCAGAATTTCAGGATAGAAAAAGAAACAAATGAAAAAAATGTAAACCTTTTTTCTTCTCCATGGAAGTGTTCCAGGCATTACAAAGTTGGTTCTCACATCTGAATCTGATGAATTTGCCTGTGCAATTTCAGGTGACTTTTCTATTATTGTCTGTAAGATTGTCCAGGTCAAGGTTCACATACAGGCCTAGAATGTAAAATCTGAAAAATAAACATTACATCAATAAATGCTTTACAACAACAGAGGCTTACTGTGTTCAGAATAGAAACTATTGTAGCAGGATCAATCTATCTCAGCAAAGCAACATGATCAACATAATGGACCGCAAAGTTTTCCTGATTTTACTAAAGTACCTTTGGTTACAAGTGTCCTGTGTAATATGTAAGTCTTGAAATTGAAGCACACTGTGTTACAAAGTCACATAAAGCTAGGCGGTTAACTTCAACTTCATTGTAAACACACATAAATCTGCATAGTGAATATAAAACTAAAATATAAAAAAACTGGCACAAGTAACATCCCCTAAAATGCCAAAACCTGAAACTGAATTTGTGTTACATACCTTTGATTCTGGGTAAGAAATTTCCAATGAAGCTGTCTTCAAGCTCAGTATAGTCCTTAACTGTTTGTGTTATGATAACACGTGTAACAAAACCCTAGAATTTCATGCAAAAATATACTTCATAAGTTAGATACACAGTTAATTCTTTTCAGCATACATGTTTACCAGGAAACAGAAATCAAGTAAAACTCTGTGAATTGAAATATACCAGTACGTCTTTTAAATTTGCTTAATATTCTTTATATTACTGAATAATATTAAAACTTATTATTTAAACTGGTTTGGGTTTTTAGTGTATCTGATTCTAGTATATGTTTGCCACCACTGATCACTTACCTTACAACAAACATCCAGAGCTAAATCGATGAGATGGATATATTGAGGAACCCAAGCCTGACAACAGTCTAAAGTGGTTCAACCAAAAATGCAAATTCTAAGGACGACCAGCTGCTATGGTCATTTCTTGTTATATTCTGGTGCACACCAATCCTTCTGAGATGTACCCAAACATCTCTAGTGCGTGTTCTTCATAAATTTAAGAAAGTATTATGTTTTAACACTGTGAAGACGATGTGCTTTGCTCCACAGTTGCTCCGGTGATAATCCTAGTACCCGCCATGTTGAAAATAGGTCACAGAGTTAGCATCGTTATTTTACATTTAGTTTCTACAGCATAAACAAATTTAAAAAATGTATTTAAGCTTCATAAGTTCGTCTGCAAGGCAAACATAATTATTTTAAGGGCTTTTCACAAACCTATACATGGTTTTGACTCATTAATTTAGTTGAAGAAACAGTTGAGCATTTAAGTAGTATAAAAATATTCGTTTTTAGGCCCTTTTTAAAATTGTTATAGTTCTTATTTTACAAGGTTTAACACAGATTTTATTTTACAAAATTTATTTTTCAACCCTTTTCTATCAGCACATACCAAAATTATATGGATACAACCTGCAAAAAAGAAGTTGTGTGCATTTAAAGAAGGGGAGGGGGTCAAGCATACGGAAAACATGCCTTATTAGAATCAACCTTGTGTGGTCATGACAGTGCCTTTTCAAAAAATCTGTACTGGATATAAAAGGTCTTTCTTTAACCTATTATGTGGCTTACCTAAATAATTCCTTATGATGTACATGATTTTTTAAAAGAATATTAAAATTTATAACTTTTCAAGAGCTAAAAAATGCTATATTTTGGCAAAATTGCCAATAAAAGATCTGCCCCCATATCTCTAAAACTAATGATCCAAAATAGGAAAGCCAGTGGCTCACAATATCTTTTATGTTGATGGTTTACCACACCAAAAATTATTAAAATCTGCTGACCCCCACCTTGCCGCCTTCTGACCGATCTGTCTGGCTTTCTCATGGACGCGCTCTTAATATCCCTTGGGTATCACTTAGCTAATTTCTGAGTTATAAAGTCATTTGCCTAATTGATAGGCCATTAAAGGAGATTACATAAAGCACACTTGTTGATATTTCCTTGTAAACTCCCAAAAGTTANATTACTTTTCAAGAGCTAAAATATGCTATATTTTGGCAAAATTGCCAATAAAAGATCTGCCCCCATATCTCTAAAACTAATGATCCAAAATAAGAAAGCCAGTGGCTCACAATATCTTTTATGTTGATGGTTTACCACTCCAAAAATTATTAAAATCTGCTGACCCCCACCTTGCCGCCTTCTGACTGATCTGTCTGGCTTTCTCATGGACACGCTCTTAAGTCGGAGAAAGTGGAAGCTAAAATGGCTGTGACCCCAAAAGAATCGAATCTCCCACCCAGTGCCATTTGGTACGGTTTAGAACTATGATTCAGCTAGTCAAAATTCGAATTTCAAGAGGAAACCATTGGTGTGATCTTTTTAAAATCGAAGGAGGGCCTCCCCTAAATCCGCCACTGGATAGGAAATACTACAGAAATTATTCCATTCATTTTTTAAAAAAGTTAGTAGCATGAAAATAAAGTCGAAGATATTGAAATTTAATCAAAGAAGATTTGTTGATATTTTATACATACATGTATCATACTGAGATATGATACTTTACATGAACAATTGTATATAAACCATAAACGATACATTAAAATCAAAATTAATGCATGCTAAGAAGGTGTAAAAAATTATCATGATTGCAAATTTTCATAGAAATTTAAAGAAACTTCATTGAAAGATGAAAAAAACTTCAATGCATATATAAGGTGAAAATAACTTTTTCTCAAGACCCCCTTCTCAAGACCCCCCCCTTGCCTGTCATTTTCAAATTGCACGACCACCACCCCCAATTTCTATTAAATTTTTCTAGCT